GGACCAATTCATTCCAAATTGAGAAAACGTTCTGGACCTGAAAAAGCAGGAAAGCTTGTTTTTCTTTTCCAGATTATGAACAAACAGGAAAATGAAGGTGAAGACAACCAAGTTAGCTTCAGAAGCCAATATTTTAAGTTTCTCATGTTGACCTGGCTGACAGTCTAATTTTTGTGTGTTTTTTTTTTTAATATTTCATTTAACTAGTTTAGTTAAAAACAATTTTAACAAAAACAAACCTGATATTAAAAAACTTGAATGTTCAACTAAATACAAAAATTCATATGCTTGTTTTGTCAAAATATTATGTGTTTGCTGTTGAAGAACAAAAAAAATCCAGAAGACATAATGTTGTTTTAGTTAAATAAAACAATGTAAATGTCTGGTGATGTTCTCCTCCTAGTACAGCATGGCAAGAAAATCCTCCAAATATTAACGAATAACCTGTTGAATTGGAGATAGTTCACCTCCCAATGACTTCATAAATATCTGCTTCATTTACCAAAGGTAAATGAAATAACCAAATAATCATTCATTTTCTGATATAGCTGTAAAACTAATCTGAAAATTTTTCAAATCACTTTAAAATGTATAGTGTGTACCTTTTAAAAATGAAACCTACATCAATCTCTGAGTTGTGAAGAATATGTATCAAGGTTATAACAACCAACAAGAATGCACTTTTATGTAAAAATTAATTATTAAATCAAGTCTTCCTGACTAGTGATTTAAATCAAATCCACCCTGTAAATAACGAAGAACATACTTTCCTGTATTAATTTTTGATTGAATAACTTGTTTGTGTGAATATTTGAGATTTTCAGCATTTGTGAACATTGTCATGAATTTCTGGCAGTCGTCTGAACAGTCACAAATAACATGACCCTGTGAATAGGACTGATCTGAACCCAATGTTTTTATTTGCAAAACTATTTGCTATTTTTAAACACAATCTGTGCCTCGTAATTCAGTGATGAAAAATATTACAGTGCCAGAGCTTGTGGGCTTGCCTCCTACCTCCTTGCCTCCTACTCTGAGCTGTTCCCCCTCCCAGCTCTGCCAAAGCACCTCAGTCACGATCTGCAGAAACTCCTATGCTATTCCACTCTCAGCCCTTTCCTGAGTAGGAATTTCCACTCATGTGAAGCTATGCACGGACTTCATACAAATCACAAATGGAGGAAGAAGCAGAGAACATCTAATCTCATTTTCCCCCCCTTCAATGTCATGTAAGATTTGGACCCAGATCTCCTTAAGGTGAAAGGTCAACTCACTGACCAAGCAGCCTCCTCTACTTACCTTTTCTGATAACACTCCCAAAGAAATCCTTGGGGATCTGCATTGGGACGTGGTAATATTTTGCCATCCTCTTTATATCCTTCATCATGTATTCCCCACGTTTTGGCACCATTGCTGGGGGCTGGTTACCTTACAGAAAAGGTGAAATTACAAGATGAAGATTCTAGTTATAATGTAGGCCTGGTCTACACACAAATTTAAACTAGTCTAACTAAAAGTGTAATTTTATATTGATTTAGTAAAACAGTTGCAACTTTGTGTGAGGACACTATTATATCAGTTTAAACCTGGCTTACTTCAGTTTTACTTGCATCAGTAAATTTGCAGGTGCTAAACTGACATAACCAGTTTTAAACCAATAAGAATGTCCACAAAGGGGTTTGCACCAGCTAAATCAGTTTTTAAAGATAAATAAACTTTTGGGTACAGATAAAGTGCTGTTCCTCACCCTCCTTAATAAAGTGCTTTATGAGGATCATTATTCCTATTTTAAAAGTGAGAAACTGAGGCACAGCAAGATGAAGTGCTTTGCAATTTCAGTCAAATCAAGTCTCCAAAAGAGCCAGAACAGAACTCATGACAGAGCTCTCCTACTAGCATAATTAAACCACCCCTAACGACCGGCAGTAGCTATGTCCGTGGGAGAGCCACTCCCGCCAACATAGCACTGTCCACACCAGTGCTGTTGTCGGTGAAACTTGTCAGGCGGGGGGGTGTTTTTTTCCTGACCAACAAAAGTGCTAGTGTAGACAAAGCCTTAGATCTCTGAGTAGAATGGCAGGGCTTCAGGAATGCCTGGCTAATGACAGCAGGGAGTCTCAGTGGTCTGTGATATTCCCCATAGCATCCATTTTGGGGTCTGTGGTGAGCTCCCTCACAGCAGTGCCCTGCCAGAGCCCGAGTGCAAGCCACACTCATAGCCCCACACTGCAGCGGGTTCCAGATGTTCTCTGTTGGGGGTTAGGAGCAGTGGAACACCTACCAGTCTCCTTCATTATGCCTCCAAGGAAAGCAGGACGAAAACGTAACTCAATGCTCCAGTGTTGCCGGTACCGGCAAAGCACCTGCAATGGGACAAATAATAATGGATAAACAACGCCTAAGACCCGCAATGAGGACCAGGGGCCCAGTGCCTGACAGAACCAGGATCTAGGCACTAAAATACATCTATCAGATAAAGCCTGATCTGTCTGAGACCATTAGAAATCAACCCTGGGATCAGCAGGGCAGCTCAGGTCTTCATGTCTACACTACCACTTTTGTCAGTATAACTTATGTCACACAGGGTTGTGAAAAAAACAACCACCATCACCCCTGAGCACCATAAGTTACACTGACAGAACTGCCAGTGTGGACAAGCGCTATGCTGGCGGGAGAGCCGACATTGCTACTGCTGCTCTTGGAAGTGATTTTATTATGGTGACAGGAGAGCTCTCTCCCGCCAGCATAGAGCAGCTACACAACTGAACTTACTGTAGTGCAGTTGCATTGGTACAGCTTTGCCGCTGTAAGCTTGCTAATGTAGGCGTGGTCTAACTGTGAGTTACAAATTTGTCTCTCCCTCATAGACACATGTAATGCAATGATAACATCATACAGAGAGTTTGAAATAGTAGCTTCAAAAGGTGTGAATTGCCATTGCATCTTAAATATGAAGCTTGCTCCCACCTCTAGGGGGGATGGGGCACGGAAATAAGGGTGGAGCCATGGCATAAGGGTAGAACCACGAAGGACCACTTGTGAAGTCTATCTGCAGCCTCAGATTGATATTAAAACCAAGGCAAAATTAAGGCATTTTCATGGTAGCAACATACATGCCACCCAAAGCACACGAATAAAAAAAAAATCCTGAGATCTTTGGAAACACCACCATTGGTCTTGAGAAATTCCTGAAAAAACAGAGGTTAGTCAGGTATGATGTAAATGTGTGTATCCCTAAAGTCACCCTTGTAAGTCTTGTACAAATAGAGTGGGTTGAAATTTTCCATTTGAAATGTTGACAAAAAAGGCCATTTTAAAAAAATGAAAGTTACTGCAATTTTTTTTTTGTTGCAATTTTCAATTTTTGACAAAAGTGAGAATTTTTTGGCTTTGTTGTTAACATGAGTTTCCTTGCCCCTTTCTCCTCTCTTTTCCTCCCACTTTCATTGGCCAAAATGGAAACAGGAAATAGTTGAGAGAAATGGGGGAAAACACAAACTAAAAACAGGTTTCAGAGTAGCAGCCGTGTTAATCTGTATCCGCAAAAAGAACAGGAGTACTTGTGGCACCTTAGAGACTAACAAATTTATTAGAGCAGACTGCTGAGCTGGAATTAATATGCAAACTAGATACAATCAACTCAGGATTGAATAAGGACTGGGAATGGCTGAGCCATTACAAACATTGAATCTATCTCCCCTTGTAAGTATTCTCACACTTCTTATCAAACTGTTTGTACTGGGCTAGCTTGATTATCACTTCAAAAAAAATTTCTCTCTTACTTCATTGGCCTCTCAGAGTTGGTAAGACAACTCCCACCTGTTCATGCTCTCTGTATGTGTGTATATATATCTCCTCAATATATGTTCCACTCTATATGCATCTGAAGAAGTGGGCAGTAGCCCACAAAAGCTTATGCTCTAATAAATTTGTTAGTCTCTAAGGTGCCACAAGTACTCCTGTTCTTTTTACAAACTAAAAAGTGTACAACATTTTCAACCAACCAAAAACAACAAAGACAACCCACTCCCCAAACCTGGTTCCTCTTCAAAATGTGTGGAATGAAAATTGTTTCAAATTAAAAAAAATATTAGCATGTTCCAGCTAGCTTTAGGCATAAGGTCCAAGCTCCTCATGTTCCTGAAACGATATTGATTTCATTGGGATTCCATGGGGCAGAATTTAGTCCAAAGGCAATGTGTAATTAAGATTAAGATCAGGCTCATAACCTATGCTCCAGTAATAACTATAGAACAGTGGAGGGGATAGCTCAGTGGTTTGAGCATTGGCCTGCTACACCCAGGGTTGTGAGTTCAATCCTTGAGGGGGCCATTTAGGGATCTGGGACAAAAATCTATCTGGGGATTAGCCCTGCTTTGAGCAGGGAGTTGGACTAGATGACCTCCTGAGGTCCCTTCCAAGCCTGATGTTCTATGAATCTTCTTTAAGTCATGACTAACTTTCTTCACTGAATAGTCAGCACCCTTCACTGGCTTTTATCCAATTGTACTAACTTCAGTTGTTCCAGGCAAGGCACAACACAGTCAGTATGAGAACACAAACATACCTCTATAAAAGAAAACAATAGATGTAATCCTGTATGAAACAAACTAAGCGAGAGCTGGCCAACAGAGGCCCTTTAAATGACCAGCTGCAAGTACACACAGGTAGGAGCTGTGACCTTCCAAACTATTCTTACTATAAACACTTCTGGCTGAAGAGGAGCGCGGGGACAGGGGAGAAATGATCTCCCATTTCTACAGCCTGCTGCCAGCCAGGGAAAAATTCAGCAATGACATGGAGGGGAAGCACCTGACATAAGGCAGGTCCTGGGGGCTCGGAGACTCAGGAAACACCGGGGATTCCCTAGGACTTCCACAGGCCTAAAGTCTATTCCTCCCAGCCCCTACTGCCCACATCCCTCTCCCTGCATTTCTCTCTGTCTGTGCCTCTCCCCCCACACCTCGAATCCAAGCCAGGAATACGGAGACACCACGTCATAGAAGATTTCCACCAGTTTCTTGCTGCCGCCGAAGCCTCCCACTGCTGCTGCCATTGCCCAGCTCCCCCGGGGCGCCGCTCGGCCCGACGGGCGCGGGTGGATTCACTGCAATCACTCCGGTGAAACGACACAAACAACCCCTGCTCCCAGTTCCCTACTTTGGGTGTACTGAGCATGCTTACCCGAACTGAGCATGCCCAGTAACCTTCGCTGTTGCCTCTGCCCTTACTTCTACTTACCATTTGCTGCCTCCTCTTTGGAGGGGTTTAAAAGGCTTAAGGGGGGCAAATCGCAGCGGGGGGCTGTCAGGGTCTGAGCAGGGGGCAGAAATTTACTGGCCGGGGGGGGATCAAGCTACTGCAGGTAGCGGCAGAAGAGGGGCTGAAGGGGAAAAATTGGGGGTGGGGAGGTAGGAGCCGGGGTTAAGCCTGGGGGGGGAGGGGGAGACGATGCCAGACTCCGTACGGGGACAAAACCCCTGTTTAGGGAGGGGAAGAGAGGGGAACAGTGACTCCGTGGGATGAGCCACCCACTGTACTCGCTAATCTAGGGGTGTAGGGGGTGCAGAGGCTGTTTTCGTTCTGCTCACAGGACGCTGCATGTCAGCCCCAGAGCAGAGGGCAGGTTCCTGGGACTGGGGTCTTAAAGGCACAGGCCTCCAATTCCTAGCCTGTCAAAGTTTAGACACCACAGCTGTCCTGTTTCGCTACCTTGGGTGTACTGAGCATGCTCACTCGAACTGAGCATGCCCAGTAACCTTCATTGTAGCCACTGCCCTCTCTCTGCCCTTACTTCTACTTACGATTTGCTGCCTCCTCTTTGGGGGGGTTTAAAAGGATTAAGGGGGTCAAATCGCAGCGGGGGGCTGTCAGGGTCTGAGCAGGGGGCAGAACTTTACTGGCCTGGGGGGTTCAAGCTACTGTAGCTAGCGGCAAAAGAGGGGCTGAAGGGCAAAAATCGGTGGTGGGGGGTGAGAGCCGGGGTTAAGCCGGCGGGGGGAGACACTACCAGACCCCGTGCAGGTACAAAACCCCCGTTTAGGGAGGGGGGGGAACAGTGACTCCGTGGGATGAGCCACCCACTGTGCTCGCTAATCTAGGGGTGGGAGGGGGGCAGAGGTGGTTTTTGTTGTTCTCACAGGGACGCTGCATGTCAGCCTCGGAGCAGGGGGCGGGTTCAGGCCTCCAATTCCTAGCCTGTCAAAGCTTAATCACCGCAGCTCCTCTCTATCCTATATAAGTGTTGCAGGGCCAGGGCCAGGGCCGCCCAGACGGGGGGGCCAAGTGGGGCAATTTTCCGTAGGGGCCCCCACGAATATGTCAGAGGCTGCCCCCGCCTCCATCTTCCCCCGGTGTCTCAGCGTGCCGCGTCCGGGAGCGGCCCTGGCGCACTGCAGCGCGGTGGCTCCAACGCTGTCCGGGGCCGCTCCTGGTCGCAGCACGCTGAGGCTCCAGGAGAGGGGGTAAGCGCCATGGTAAGGGGTGGGGCACCCCCCCGACCCCATCCTAACCATCACCATCACCCAGCAACAGCCCATTATGTAATTGTAAATGTATACATACCATTCCAGCATTTAATGTTTTTAAATAATGTATTTAGTGTATTTATTACAAATTAATTTTTGAATGTATGTCACTGGTTATTTTTTACATTTCAAAATACATGTTACTATAGTATTGCAACTGTTTTTATGGAAGGGGCCCCCAAAATTGCTTTGCCCCAGGCCCCCTGAATCCTCTGGGCGGCCCTGTACACGGCTACGTTACTGATCCAGCCAGGAGACTGAATGCGGTGAAATATTGTACAGACACTCCCTCCCTCCAACTCTGCCTCTCACATTTTGAATATGTAAAAGTGTCTTCTATCAGTTTAAAGAACAGGAGTACTTGTGGCACCTTAGAGACTAACAAATTTATTAGAGTATAAGCTTTCGTGGACTACAGCCCACTTCTTCGGATGCATATAGAATGGAACATATATTGAGGAGATATATATACACACATACAGAGAGCATAAACAGGTGGGAGTTGTCTTACCAACTCTGAGAGGCCAATTAAGTAAGAGAAAAAAAACTTTTGAAGTGATAATCAAGATAGCCCAGTACAGACAGTTTGATAATAAGTGTGAGAATACTTACAAGGGGAGATAGATTCAATGTTTGTAATGGCTCAGCCATTCCCAGTCCTTATTCGATCCTGAGTTGATTGTGTCTAGTTTGCATATCAGTTCCAGCTCAGCAGTCTCTCGTTGGAGTCTGTTTTTGAAGTTTTTCTGTTGTAATATAGCCACCCGCAGGTCTGTCACTGAATGACCAGACAGGTTAAAGTGTTCTCCCACTGGTTTTTGAGTATTATGATTCCTGATGTCAGATTTGTGTCCATTAATTCTTTTGCGTAGAGACTTGATGTCAGATTTGTGTCCATTAATTCTTTTGCGTAGAGACTGTCCCGGTTTGCCGGTTCTTACC